AAAAGGCAAATAAATCACAAATCTTTATTACGGTAGTTCGTTAGACCCGATTTCAACTTCGATTAAGTTCAGCTATAACCACTGATGTCCCCTGCGTGTAACAAACATGCAAGTCCCACAGAGTCAAATATTTCGTTCGCTTTTTAAGACATTTCGTCAATCTTATTAGAGAAACAGCCCCTTTGTTGACTGCCCCCTCTAAACGAGCATAACTCTTGAGGGTCCGACAACATATGAGCATGAACGCTATTGAGACGGCGATCCGGGCCGCATGGGGTCCGAATTTAATTTAGACGGACCGCAGGAATACCCTCTTTGCGGCTCCGGGGCCGGATTAAGGCCGCTACACCGCAGAGAAAAAGGCCGCAAATCCCCGGCGGCCGTCCGATTTTCTTCCAAATTACACGGCAATTTAGGAATCAATCTTCGCGCTCCGGACCGACAAACTTGAAACGAATCGGTGGACGGCACAGGGCACTTATCGGAACCATCGTATGAACGCTGTCGAAGATAGACAAGCGACGATTTAGGGGAGAAATGGGATACTTTCCTTAAAAAAGTGCAACTCGACGGTCGGTTATTGCGCGCGCTTTTCAGGGCTGAATGAAAAAGACGGTGACCGTTCGTTTATAAATTGTTTAATTTTTGGAAAGATATTTATGTGTGCTATACACGGACAGTTGGAGCAGTTTTAGTCAGTCTAAAAATCAAAATACTGGGGCGAGAAAGATTCTCGGCGTAGAAACAACTTTTTTATTATAACGGGTGTTCAAGTGAAAAATCAATCGGAGTAGGTGTTGAGACTATCATTTGACAGAAATGGCATGTCTGTTCTTTTAATATATAACATACAACAGGCTATGCCGTTTCTGTCAAATGATATTCCAACGCCTACTCTAGTGATTTTTCAATTAAACCCTTATTACCTGTTTTTTTTTAAGTAAAAACCGTGCAAAAAGTAGCAGACGCTGATTCTTTGCAGTTATGAGGATGTTCAATTCTGATGATGTTGATGTAGTATTATTACTTCCATTAATACCACAACAACGCGTTTCGATACACTTAGTTTGTTCTCAGCGGATACTTCAACATAAGCAATAGCTGCAGTTAAATATGCCGAGGTCGCATAAACTCAAAATTCTATTGTTACCATTTTGTGAAACTGTAAATCAGTACAAACCTTCAAAAATAAAACGGCATCGTCAGAGGCTTTAACGAAAAGTTTGAGCAATTCTTTTCCTGTAAACACCAAGGACTTCTTAGGATCATACTCTTTGTTTGTGCCCTTCATAAACGCATGTAGCTTATGAAAAGAAGCAATGTTTACTCAGTGTAACAACTGTAATGAAACGCACTGTATGTTAACGAATTTCTATTTTTAATAATTAATTATTCTTACCTACCATTGTGTTCATATAGGCAAGCATTAGTGTTTCATCTATCACCTTGCACCTTTTCCCGCCCATCCAACTGGAAAATTTTTCGTATACCTTGCAATAGATTTATTTGGATTTTTCTGGAATTAGTCTCTGCTCAGCTTATTCCGCTAACAATTCTAATTTCGAATGAAATATCCTCGAATTTGTTCATTTTGTAATTCACATTCGACATTTCAAAAGTCGACAGAACATCATAAGTTCACAAATTTATAATAAATACTGTGGTGACCGAATTTGAATCAAATTTTCGCGCCGAATTTAATTAACAGCAGCGCCAAATCACATTTGAATAATTTGAATTTGAAATAAAAAAAACTTCAGTCACAAAAAAATCGTTACACATAGGCAACCATATGCACATAGTGCTTGGGGTAGTTCTGCATATTTAGTTAGAGGGTGGTAGTCGGCTTGGTAGACAGAGGGCAGCATGGAAGCGTCAGTCTGGATGTGTTTTTGTGAGTGTAACCACGTGGTAAGGTAGTTTTGGTTAGTTTAGTTGGTTTGGTAGTTAATAAAAGGGGGGAAGTCTTTGTTTAACGACAATTAATCATAACCCCAACCCGCGGCCCTTTAATTGGAAAAAAGTGCGGACTTTTGTTCAACGCGGACCACATGGTCTAGATTTGTTTTGTTGTTTGTAAATTTACTAATCAAGTTAGTTTTTTTAATCGTCAGCTAGTGCTAACACAATTTAACAATCAGGATTATTTAAATACACGACCTGTTGTTGTTTAATTATAAATAAGTTTCTGGATGCATATACGTAAGTGTTAGATTATAACACTTTTTAATTCTTCACACAAGAGTGTTAATAATTCATTTACGGCAGTTAAATTAACAGAATTTATTATACCTTGAACTGGCGGGGGGTTAAAATAATTTCTTCTCTTAGGCGGTTATCATCGTTCTCATGATTATATCACTGAGGCATGTCCTCGCAACGCTAAATATTGATTACATCATTGAGGCATGTCCTCGCCACGCTAAAGATTGATTACATCACCGAGACGCTTTTTCCTCGCAACGTGAAAATTTACATCATCGAGGCATTGCCTCGCAACGCTAACATTTACTTTATCGAGGAATTTCCTCGCAACGATAAAATTTACATCACCGAGACGCTTTTTCCTCGCAACGATGACTGGATATTTTTGTGTTTATTTATAATGTGTTTTGTTGGGGTAACCAGTTCACGGTATTTTAAACTCTCAAAGTAAACTGTTTTTAAGTAACCAGCCACATAATTTGGCCTAATGTAAACTCTTTGTTTGAATCATTGATAAAGTGTGGCAAGTATTAATTTTATGTAAATTTTGTTAACTTTGCAATTTTTCACCTCATACAATATTTCTCTAATCTCACAATTTTAACTTCAGTAATTTTCTTTGTTGTATATTGCTCTTTTGAAACTTTAACACTTGTTCAGTTGTCGACAATATTAGAGTCACAAGAAATTGAATATTTAAAAATGGAACTGAGGTTAAATAACGCCGAAACACGTAGCAGAAGCGTAGGGGGCGGCTCCTAGTGGGGGCTATCGGGATTTGTCGCGCCATCTGCACAAGGGGTGCAGGCGTTGTCTACACAGTCAGTGGGAACGGTCTGTACGATGTGAAGCTGTCAGCTTTTTTATAGCCTTGACATTCCAACAAACAGTTTCCGACCGAAACGGCCTGTTTAGCACGGTACGCCTCTTCATTAGGTAGAGGGGTGCTCGGCGGTAGGCTTGCCGATAGATAGAATCACCGTTGCGAGGGAGACCAGCCTGGACCGGGAGCCCCAAACTCCACTTACGCCCTTATAGGTGCTGTTGTTAACTGCCATAATTTTACATTTGACGCCACACGTCCGTAATAACTTGTGTATTTGCATCCAGTTGCTTTAATTCAGATTTTGTTTTATTTTTAATAAATTTGTGATACTCAAGTATTTGCATTGATTCAAAATATATGTGTATAATTTTGTGTTTGTTCGATTTTCATATGTGTATGTCTCTCAATTAGCTAGTGTCTTTTCTTTTATATTTTTAAGGTGATGCATTTGACATGTAATATGTGGGTGAATAAAACCCTAGGGGGTTTTTTGAGATGAAAAGCGATGGCGACTCGGCCCTCCTGGGCCGCCAGAAGTCACCTTCGCTCGTCGCTTTTTTTCCTCCTAGGGAGGGGTGCGAGTCTAGGCCCCCTCCCCAAAATTTTATCTATTATTTCTTGCGCTCTCTAGTCGCACGCAGTCTATGCTCACTTGTATAAAAGAACGTCTTCCCGCCATTAAAAAAAAAACACAATGTAGGTTCCTCTTTGTTAGACGATCACAGTCAAGGCCAAATTTTGTATTTTTGAATTTTTCGCGAGCGTTTCAATTTTTTGCAAGTGTCAATTTAAGGCGGGAAGTTTGGGTTATTACAATACAAATTGTAAAGAAACAACAACAATTGCTCAACATTTTTATAGCAACGATTAATGATACAGATTACTTCAAAAAAGAGATTTCGATTTATGTTTTTTATACAGGGTTTCTAAATATGATTATAGGGTCGAAGTAGATTATGAAAACGTGCCGCCTCTCAGTTTTAAACTTTACTAAATGCCCAAGGACGCATGACAAATACGAAACGCATCTGTATAATTGGTTGCCTAAATCTTTGATATCTTATTAAAAAATAAAACTAATCTGTTACAATAAAAATCGCAGTAAATGCTGAAAATGTCCATTATTTTGTTCAAGGCACACTTTTTCATTTAAAAAATATTCTCTAATCTTTTCGTCAATACCCATTGTTCAATTTCACATTGCAACAGGAACTTCTGACTGCTCAGGAAATCTTGTCAAAGATGTTTGCGGATTCTTTTCAAGTCGTCTCAAATCATCAACAACTTCCTCAGATATTGAAAGTGCTCCAAGATACTTCCCTTTGTTGACACTTCCAGTTCGAACAAATCTGTTGATTACATTTCTAATGTGAAACTCTAACAATGTTTCTTGAATTATTAAAGCAGAGTATTTGGCCAGATATTGTTGCTTACAAGCGGTTACAGAATACACAACCTCTTCGTTTACGAATGTCCCATTGTGGTAATAAGACATATAATGAAAGTATCTTGTTCAACAGAATAAACCATTTTCACGGTCTTCGCTTCTTAGCACAAAAACACAATTTTCGTACGCAAGTATCAGGACTTTTGAAAACGACTGTTTTGTTGTCTTGAGCTTGGATCAACGAGAATTACCGTAATTCATATTTGAAAAACGTTAAAATAATAAAAACGATGACTTTAAATGACAGATTACAAATGTCATTAGACATTAATGTGACAACTGAGAACTGTCATAATGAGAGCGAAAGGGGATTTTTGAAATCCATGGCCAACTACGCCCTAATTCCAAAAATCAGTTATGTGGAATGTCAGAGGTTGACGGTCGGGTATTATTGCATTTAACGACGTGAATTGTTTGTTGCATTTTTGTTCTATTAGAATTAAAAAATATGTTAGTTTCTAACTAGTTTAATTTTACTAGACAATACAAAATGTTAACATCCACGTCTTAATGTGTGCGGGTTTAGCTTTGCAGATTTTTGGCGACAGAGTTATCTTTTTGGTTACGCCACATCTTCAGGGTCTTTAAACAAACAAAGAAGACACCAATACCCTAAAAACAAAAAGATTAAAAGGATTCTTGGTTTACACTTATGTTTAAGTTTTGGCATAAGTGCATTAAAATATTCCACTCAGTGCGTAGTGGTTGTACTTTGTTTCAAACTCTACGTACTTAAAGAGTTACTTTATCTACAATTACGCAACAGGTATTTACCTCAACGATTGCAAAACTGATCGCTACGTAAGCTATGATTTGGATATATTTGCTCAGGGCGTCTTTCAAAGCTTCTGCACATCCAATTTTGTACGGTAGGTAGCAGTTCGTTCTTCCGCAGCAACTGGAAGGATACGGTGGTACGTCATAATCTGTATAATTATTAACTCCACAACATTCAAACTAAAAATAGCCAAGTCAAAAACGATCAGTTTTAACAAAAGCTATATTTACTTTGCTTTGAATAGTACGGAACGATTTTATGTCTTCTCTGTTATCGTTTCTAAACAAGTCTATTAGAATGTCTCTCACTGAAACCAAGAAGTCGTTTTCATCTATAATCTTGACGACCCCCACGACTCCGAGTGTTAGTTGCAGGACGAAAATGATAATGAGGATCACGCTATACTGAAACAGGACGAGTTAAACACAGTTTATCTTCTGATGGGTTTTTCGGTTTACAATTGCCAGTCGATACATATTTGGCTCAAGAGCACTGTAGCAGCCGAAGATGGCGCTAAAGACAATAATCACTCCGACGCATATCGTAAAAATTCCGAGGGAAAAGACACTACTCATGTCTGAGACGGCGTAGTTTTCGTCTATGTAGTAGTGAACGCCGAAAGCGATTAATGTGATGGCACATGCCTGCAAAAAAACATTAGAAAACGAAAAACAACAAAAGAAACTTACCGAAATTGTGAAATTAAATACTAGCAGCAAGTATTTCTCAAATTCTGGGATGAGCTTCATTTTTGATTTTAGCTGTTGCATCGGTTACCTAGAATAATCCCATATGGTAAAAAAGTGTGAAATATGGTGATTTTGACAATGAAGAATGATCTCAGAAGAACTAGTTCACGTATTATTATATCATATTATTACTAATACATATATACTATACTCTGGAATGAGTGGAGAGAAAGATCGAGAAATAAGATATCTTCGATAAGGATGAGGTGTGTCTTATATGCACTCTCCAATTTGCATTTTTCTTTTTTAGCTTATCGTGAATGAAATAACGAAAGATAACAGTTGTTCAGCTCAAGTAGTAGATGGTACTGAAGTACTGATATTATATATGTTAACTGCAAATAATTTTAAATCTGTTAGCTAAACCAAGTATTTTATAAGACTTGGTAAGGAAGTATATACTGAGTATCATATCCTTTAAATCACCCCATTCATCTACATTATCTAAATCACTTTGGTGGAGAAAACAATCTTCAAACGTAGACACCTTTCTAAAAAGTTTTAAATCATCTGTAAATAAGAGTAGTTTCGAAGAGTGGACGCGTAGATTAATGTCGTTGATGTGAAGATGAGACAAGTATGGTTCACAGTGGGATCCCTGAAGAACTCTATATTTAACTTCAACGGGATCTGAAGGGGGATTTACAATATTTACAAGTTCCGCGCTCTGTGTTACAAATGTTTCAATCCAGTTAACCATCAAAGTTCATTGGTTTTAGTATACATTTAGATCTTATGGTTAACTCCATCAAATGCTTTAGAGAAGTTTTCGTATATACATTCAACTCGTTTACCCTCTTGTAAAGCATTAACTACACAATTCTGATATAGAAGCAAATTTGTCGTTGTCGATCACAAAATCCATGTGGTGTTTCATGAATCAAGTGTCTACACGCTAATTTAGGTTCATTTGATATCAAATGATCAAGACGCTTAAAAAGGTAGATTGAATGCTGATTTCACGATAGTTTGATACAAATCCATTATCACCAGATCTAAAAATGGGGATAAGGTAACAATTCTTCCAAAGCTTTAAAAATATTTCAGAAGTTAGCGATACATTAAATAAATAGCAAATAGATTAAACTAAACACACATGAGATTAAAAAGGGCAACAATACCATCAGGACTTGAATTACTAGAAGGCTTTAAATTTAGAACATTCTCAAACACTTCTTTCACGATTAGTGCACTAAAGTTAACTTGGTTTCACCAATAAGCACTAATTTGTCGTCTATCTTGTCGCTGAAATCACCATATATGGGTTTAAAGATTTGGAAAATAAATTAGCAATTTTACTAAAGATATATCGTTAATTTTCATAAATACAATTGAGATTTTTCTTATTTTTATTTCTCCAATATTTCCAAAATAATTTTGGTATGGAATTTATGTCAAATTCCATTAGTCTAATATATTCATCGTAACATACATTTGTTTTAGTTTTACACAAGTTTCTACTACACGCAAATTCTATGTAAACTGAGCAAACACTTGTTATTTTATATTTGATATAAATCAGATTGTTTGTTTAGACGAATAAGTTTTACTAATTCACCAGAAAACCATTCAGCATACTGTGACGATTTAAATTTCTTGACTGCAACCGTATTTTGAATTATGTATTTAGTTTAATATATGACAGAATGTATTTTATGAGTTTAGTAAAGTTTAGAATTAACCTTTTCATAATTTGCATTCCTAAAGAATTCCGGCGCAACTTGACTGGACACTCTTAACTCAACTGGCTGAATAATCACCGTTTTTGAAAGTGGCCTCTATTTAAACCCATTCGAGGGCTTTCTCGAATATCCATTGCGACTTCCGCTTCCAGGAGTTTCGAACGCCGCTGGGCCGCGTCATCTCTGTACAAACTAGAAAGCTCTCGACGGTCCACAGGCGTCGTACTGGGGTGGCATATGGGTTTCTTTCGTAAAAACGCGATATACAACCAACAGTGTAATAAAATCTATAGCCAGGGTTGGGCAAAATACACTTTCCACTGTAATTGAAATACAAAATACAAAATACTTCAATTTAATGTATTTGAAATACAAATTACAAAATACATTTATGTCTTGTAGTTGAAATACAAAATACAAAATAGTATTTTAAATACTTTTAAAAATACAAAATATATTTTGTTCAGGACAGTGGCAAAAATAAAATTGAAGCTCGTTCCTAAAAATTTTAAAGTTAACTATCAGAATTCTTTCACTATCTTTATAAGTTGGTCCTGTATGTTACATTCCATGTCCATCTAGTGTCAATTTGTCGAAAGTAAAACGCGTCGTTAAAAATATTGTGACATTTCTTCTAGTTGCCTGCCACTGCTGCCAACATAAATTGCAAAGTCCTCAACCGTCATTTAATTTAAATTATGGCGCTTCTCTATGTTCTCTGTTACAACCATAGAATATCCTGTTACTTCTCGAAGTACACGAACATACACGAATTAACACGATCGCAAAACTGTTGTAATGAGCGCGCCGTAGTTTGATGAAATGTAGGTATTTCAAGTAATTGAAAATACAAAAATACAAGTTAAAATGTATTTGAAATACAAAATACATTTGTGTCATGTATTTGAAATACAAATTACAAAATACAATTGTATTTCAAATACTGTATTTCAATTACAAGTAGTTCAAATAGTGCCCAACCCTGTCTATAGCAGGTACGTGAAGAAAAGAGGGAAAGCAGCTGGGTATGTTTGCCCCTTCTCCCAGGTACATACAACATAAATAATATCAAAATATTAGGACAAACAATTAAGGAAGAGAATATTATAAGTAGAAATATAAAATCAAACATTTTTCTTCTTACCTCTAATTGTAATAAACCCAAGTAAGTCAGTATGTCACGGTAATTAACATAAACAGTACCACATTTAAAGCAAATACATTTTACAAGTCCACTTTAAATTGACTCCCGCCTAGTTATATGAATTCTAAAGTAAGGCGACCACATGACTGTACAGTATTCAAGCTTAGATCGTATGAAAGCGTTAAACAATAACAACAATGTACGAATATTAGAGAACTCCGAGCACATTCGTATAACAAAACCTAACAATTTAGATGTTTTGGACACAACATTATGAACATGGGTGTTAAAGTTTAATTTTGAATCAAATGTAGCACCTCGATCGGAACATGTGACTTTTGATAGGAACAATAAATAATTAAAAAGAATATGTAGAGATAGACTCAAGCTTTCGGCATGTTTTTTAACAAAGATGGACTAATTAAGAGCTTACGGTTATAAAAACAAAGATCTTAAATTACATTATTACTATTTAAAATATAATTATATTGTCCCAAATCATTAAAATTATAATTATCACAAATAAGCTCTTCAATTACAGACTCGGAAGGTCACCAGCAATAAATATGATAGAATTAGGATAATTTTGAGTTAATGTGTTTAAAAAGTCAATATGACTAGCATATAACTCGATGGGCGATTTTGGAGGAAATTAAACTACTCCTAATATTAGACTTATGTTATCGACTAATTTGAGGTCAATCCAAATTTCTTCACGGTAACCGACATCAAGAAAACATAAAAGTTGACATGATAGTATACGTCCGGTCACTGCAATCAGCACTCCACTCCAGCTTCTCTAGACATGCAGGTAGTGTCAAATGATCGATCTTGACGAAACACTACACATAGCGGTTTTCAAATAACTCACTGTCAGGGATGTTGTCCATAACCCATGTTTCTGTTAGTGATATAACACTGTAGTCATTCTCATTACACATAACATTATGATAGAGTTCGCTTACTTTTGTTTTTAATCCATGCACATTTTGGTGGTAGATACTTAAGGAGGTGTCGGTTCTTTGCGAATTTGACGAAACTTTCTTTGAGGGCCGGACCCTCACCTATTGTGCTTTTGAAAAAATTTACGGACTGCCGCACCAGAAGGCCAAAAAGACGGATTCATTAATTTTCAGTAAATTGATGCATCGACAGTGAACTTGAAAGAGCTATAACTTTCAGGAAACTTGGAATAAAACTGAGATAACTCACATTGAAAGCTTTCCTTAATGTCATCGTTTAATTAATAAGCAGAGCTTATTACAAATGAATGATTTAATTTTTTCAGTTGATACCTTTTGATTAACTCTAGTGATATGGATATGAGCCTTTTCAACTTTTTTTTGGACGCCATTAATTCGCATTCAGTATAATTTGAGCTGTTTCTTTAAGACATATTTCTAGTCGTACCAATTATCAGAGGGGTTTTCTGTTTTTACGACGTTTAGTTGCTCCCAAAGAATGTCTTTTTCTAGAATATTGGAATCTTTCATTTTATTAGGATCTTCTTTAGTTTCACTTGAGACTACTTCGGAAACAATTCGTCTTATCAGGTGTTTTTATTGGTGTAATATTATCAGCGAACAGATAATAATTTTTTCCAGATTGATTAATTGGGATCTTTCATAGGACAATGTGATACTAAAAGACAAATGAGATCAATGTTTGATGTTGTTAAATCTCTCACTTGTTGCTGCAGTTCGTGGACCTGATTTCTCAAGGATAGTGTTTCGTGTTCAACTGTTTTTTTCACAAGTTGCAGAAGCTCATTTCTCGAAGACTTCATTTCAACTACTACAATATTCGCATTTAGTAATTGGATCGACGGAACCAACAAGCGCATCGGTAGACATCACCACTTTTTTCCGTCTGTAAGATTTCAAAGCATTCGGTTTTGCAATTGTTGATTTTGCAAGGACGGATAGTGACGGTTCGGAATCTCGCCGATAACGTGTGGTGGCGGCGTACCTGGCTGCCAAGCCTTGGGCCGACTAGTGCCGCTGGTATAACAAACACGTCTGGCCGACCTAAGCTTATGCGGCGACCTTCACGCGAGAGAGCCGGGGTTGCTCTCAAGCCGGAGACATGGATCTCTGGTGGTGAGTGCCCGCGAAAACACTGTCAAAACAATGTTTGTGTGGAGTTATTCTATATGTAATAAAATTTACAGCAGA